CCCCAAAACCCCAAAACCCCAAAACCCCAAAATGAAAAAAGTGACTATAAATTTATGAAATCAATTTTAATATCAAATTTGAATATTTTTAGGGGAAATAGCAACCATCTTAATTGTCTAACTTCTAATTTGGTCTTTAAGTTATTTGAATGGCACAAATTCCTAGGTTTAAACCCTCGATCCCTGCTGATTGTTTTGTGATATTGGGTAATTCAACTAGTTTTTTTATATATGTAGATTTTTCTGAGCTCTCCTCTGCATAAATGCTTTCATCATGGATGATCCTTGATTTTAACTTGGTAAGTAATTTAAGATTTTTATACTTCAAGGCTGTTTAATAATATCAACTGATGTTTTATTCCTACTTATTTCTGATGAAACTATCAAATTATTAAGGTTATCCTGACTTTAAACATTAGTCTATGAAACTATTCTATCTGGAGAAGCTAGTTGTGTTTTATTTTAAAGATTTTTAAAAGATTGCATTATAATCTGTTTATTCCTTGGCAGAGTGCTACTCATGTTTTTATTTTTTCCGACTTCTGGCATAGATGAGGTATTATAAAACATTTGACTAAAGTCTAATTGACTTTTACCGTATCTGCTTTTGTATTCTCTAGCCTATTATCTGCTTTGATAACTTGATGATGCCTCTATTTCAGATTTAGTAAAATTGGGATTTCTATTTATCACATTTTAACTCTGTTTATTATTATCGTAAAATTCTTGAGTGCTCTAAGTCCTTTAAATTGGAAATAAATTTTCCTTAGTATTTTAGTATTTAGACTAAGGTTTTTATGCATATTTTTCAATATTCAAAACTTTTATATCTGGAAAGCTAAGATCTATTTTAGGATGAACCCATGGCATACTAAAATTTTACTTAAAGCATTTTTTAGAAAGTATTAGATTTCCACCTCTTTTAATGGCAGAAATTTTTTATTAGCTTGCTGGCTCTTCTGTTAGTTTTTCTATATTATTTTAGATTTTTCCATAAAGTCCATAAGGTGGAGATTGAGCATAAGTTGGTGATACTTATTTCATTTCTGCATTTTTCCTTGTTCCGCTACTGTTAATCCTTTTGTGCAAATTTTCAAGTAAATTAATTCTGTTAACTTATCCTTGCGTGTTATCGATCCAATCTTCATTTTCATTTAGATTTATTTAGTCTACAATTCCCATGTCAAGCCCTTTTGATAGTGATCTATATAAATGGATAATGATTATTTTACCTTAATTTTCCACTTCCCTCTCGACTCACTCTTTATATCCAAAACATGTGAGAAGATTGCTCGTTTCAAGGTATTCTGATATTTTGAGGGTGAAGAAGAGGCTTTTATTTATTTATCTATGTAGTCATTTTTTATTTCATTTTATATAATCGTAAATTTTATCAAATTTTCATAAATTCACTTTTCTTTACTTGTGGGGTTTTGGGGTTTTGGGGTTTTGGGG